AAGCACTGTCTGACGCGTCTGCCTCCGCGACCCGAAAGGAGAAGCGGCGATGGAAGATGATGAAGATGATGATGATGAAGAGTCGATTTACCTCTAGGAATAGGTTAGGACATTCCGCATAAGGGTACTGACAACAGCTGAACTAACTGCTGTGAAGAATGAACTCGCGAGACAGTCATCGCTGTAACCGCGACGACTGCAGTAACTGAAACACTAGGTGACTACACTTGCCAAAATCAGTTGTCCATTACAATGGCTGCCATGAGATTCGAAGCAGTCAGTGGGGAGGTATGGAGGTAGTAGAAACCTTGCAGCAGATAGCACGCATTCAGGAGGTTTAGTAGCAAAGTACAAGGACAAGTGAATTCAGATATGGTCATTTATTTGTGTTCATTTGGAAAATCATGCCTACAAATAGAGTTAACTAATTCTGAGTTCGATTTGCGTATAATCGTCCTGGAAACAATAGTTTGCGCATTGGTACTCAGTATGTTATATACTTCCGTAGCGGAAACTGAAACCCTAAAGTTTGGCATCTAGGGTGTTAAACGAATATAATCTTTTTTCAAATGTAATCGTTTCGATCAGTATGCGTTAACAGTTTTCTTGTATGAAGGAAAAACGAGTCTCATTCGGTCTCTGACTCAGGATGCTAAACTGGTGGCCGAAGACAGACTGTTTGCGACGCTTGACGTGACAGTTCACGCCGGTGTGTTGCCATGTCGAATGACTGTTCTCTACGCGGATACGGTTGGTTTGATCGCTGACGTGCCTGCTGCTCTCATTCCTTGCTTCTGGGCAACACTGGAAGAAATTTGTTACGCAGTAAGTGACGACGTTTAAAGCGAAGTGGTGTGGTTTCTATGTATCTCTCTAGATACGTCGTTTGCGTTTATTCTGGCGTGTCATTTACTTTGTTCGGCCCATAGACAAGCGTTGTTCCAACAGTGTCGCGTGAATTGTTCAGAATTTCCTTATCACTTCCACTATTTCCTTCGATTTGTGGTCATTTTCATTCGTTGGTTACCATTTAACAGTTTGCTCTATCTAATTAACTTGAATTATTTTAAAACATAAATTAATATAGGCATGTGTAATGACTGCTTTTAAAAATAGCATAGGCACTTTCTAATGAATGTATTTTATTTGAATCCTTAAACGTCGGTTGGTTTATTCGTTGTTTTTTCTTGAATATGATGCCTATTCCGGACTCAGATAATGCTTAAATTAAATGCTTCTCTAGCTTCACGCTGCCTTTCACCAGCCTGGAGGCTAGTCGTGCCAGCTGCAACAGGAAACTGATTTCTAAGACGTAACCATG